ATAGGATTCATTTTTAGTTTTTATTTGAATTTTTATCCTGAACATAGTAGAATTTCTATGGGATATGTTTTATGACAAAGAAAAAAGAACGTTGTTTCCCCCAGTGTTTTATCTTGAAAGCTGATTGAAAGTTGAATATATGGATTAACTGAATAAAAATCTTAATATGAAGATTATGGTATAGAAAACTTAAGTAGAAGCTAATGGATAATATACATTATTGAACATCACTTTAAGAAATAGTAGGGAATAGTTCAACTATCTATCATCCTAATAAGACTTTTTTTTAGTTCTTTCGATAATATTTAGTTTGTGGATTAATAAAATGAAAACATATGTCCATAATTTCTTGATCCATTTTAAGAAATAGAATTAAACTAACTTTACAATCAATTTCAATCGGTATGTTGTTGTACTTTTCTTTTTTCGAAAACGCCATAATACATGTCACTTATTGAACATTAAACATACAAGATACAATAAAGTTTTAAATGAACAATTTAAACAGTAAATAAAAAGATGGACACTGACTAGTAGTGAAATTCAGAATGTATGTTTTGTCCAATTTGAGACTTGTTAGCTGTATCACAAGTTTGATGTTCAGTTTGATATAATACAAAGTGATAGGAAATATAAATTTATGAATTTTGTCTTTTAAAGTAAATCAATTTTCACTTCACTTTCCAGTTTATAATTAAGACATTACTATAAGTTTTAATTCAAAAACATTACCAAGCTTTATATTTGAATTTCCATTTAAAGAGAGCAAGAACAAAGATTGGTGTAGAAGAATATAAATTCAGTTTATTTCGTTGGGTTTTCATCAGCTGCTTACAACCTGAAATATTTGAAAATCAGAGTTATTACAGTTACTGACATACTTATACATAAGAAAGTGATTAAAGATGAATATATGTATCATGATGTAGCGAAGATTTCGATAGAGTTAATGAGTTCATTAAATTTTGTTTCGAATAAATAAAGTTTGGGGGGAAGGTTACAGAACATTGAAATAGTGATTAGAACTCATGGAAAAAACAAACATATTAGACGATTATGTAATGCGTACTGCAAACACAAGGGCTAGAGCCTCTTTCTCTATTTGACTGTACTTTCTTTCTGCTGAAGTTAATGTGCGAGATGCGTGCATAATAGCTTACCCTGTTGCGTCCGGGAACTGATGTGAAATGACAGCACCGACTCCAAAAGCTGAAGCGTTTGCAGCGACAATGATAGGCATGAACGGATCGTGTCAGTAATAGTTCAGAGCTTATAATTGTTTTCAGCTTGCAAAATGCAGCTTTACATTGTTTTGTCCAGTTCCAGCTGGTGTTCTTATTCGGAAAATGATTTATCGGGGCGTGTATGTCATGCACAGACGGAACAAAAGTAGTAGCTAATTAATCCCAGGAATGATCGTAGTTCAGAGATATCAATGGGAGCCAGCATCATTTTTATAGCTCAGATGTTTTCAGGATCTGGTCTGCGAACTGCGGCATCAAAAATGAATCCCAAGTATTTTACTAACCTCAAAAAAGCTGGCATTTTTCTGGGCGTAATCGGAATTCGTCATCGCTGACGCGTTGTAGCACAACTGTCGTGAGTTCTCTAAGCTCTTCTAACGATGTGGCAACAATTAAGATATCATCGAGATAAGTTGCGACCCCCGGGATACCCGATAGAATGGTATCCATTAGTTGCTGAAAAATAGATGGAGCTGTTTTAACACCAAATGGTAGGCGATTTTACTGAAACAAGCCACGACGAGTATTTATTGTAATTAAATCTCTCGAATCCTCAGCCACTTATACTTGTTGATAGGCATCAGCTGGATCCAGCTTTGCAAAGAACGTCCCACCATTTAACACCGTGAGCAAATCCGCAGCGACTGGCAGTGGGTAATGATGCTATTCGAGAGTTGCATTAAGACCTGTGGAAAAGTCTGCGTATACTCGGATTGTGCCATTAACCTTCTTAATAACCACAATGGGTGCTGCCCAGGCAGAATACGAAACAGGCGTAATAACTCCCTGTAGTTGAAGGCGGTTAAGTTCTTCATTAACTTTCGATAATGCTGCGTACGGCAACGGTCTCTTTGGACGGAAGATAGGTTTAGCTCCAGGTTTCAACCGAAGTATTGCTTTCATAGCAGTGCACTGACCCAACACAGGCTGGAAAATGGTTGAAAACTCCGTCATTAGTTCTTTCGAATATGCTTCAGGTCAATGAGGTTGTTTCACCAGATAGCATACAGTGCTTAACGGAACGTCAGCTAAATGTAGCCGGTCAATCCAGTCTAAATCAAGTAGATTAAGATCAGCTGGTGTGATGTAACATACCCCGGTAAACGTCGAATCGTGAAAAGAAACTTTACAATCTAGTTGTCCCAACAAACGTAGATAATTACCGCATGCCGTTCGAGGTTTCTGTGTTTTTGGCACCGTGCGTGGTCTTCCCATTCTGATCCGATATTTTCGTAAGAGAATTGTTACGTAAGATGCAGCGTTTATTTGCAATGTAAACGGGCGCCCATTAATATTAAGGGTAATAAATTTCCTCTCACCTGGGGTTGAGTTCTGACAACTTGCTATTAGACTCAACGAACTCGTGTTGGATCTAAGCGTAGGCTTTCTTGTACCTCTGGAGCGGTTCGGCTTCTTTTTTCGACAAAAACCATCTTTATGACCCACCGCATTACATTTCCTGCACCGATGTTGTTTATATGAACAGCTTCGAACAAAATGCCTGTTGACCTGAACTAGATGTTTTTGGGGCAGAATTATGCGAGTTGGGTGGTTGCTGAACTACATGAACTTCAGTACGTTCTGAACCACCACGCCGAACCATCGTAGTGTCACGCTGTAGATTGACTAGACGTTGATATTCGTTTGCAATATCATTAAGAGTTAGTTTTGGGTCTTGGTCCAATCGACTTAGCAAGCGTGTTCTAATGTCACTGAACTTCTGCGATTGAAGACTGCAGATGAGAATGAGGGCCTTAAATTGGCCTTCAGTAGGCGACTTCAACCGGAAGCGTTCACATTCTTAGTTGACGATACCCACATGTGTGAGAAAATCATCATCTTCGTTCATAGTGAGCTTCAAACATCGATAGCGCGCATTGAATAGTGAGGAGTTGTCTCCGAATTGTTGGTTCAATGACTGGACAGTGTCCGAGAATGAGCGATCGCGTGGGTTCGGAGGCAGGATTAGGTTGCAATACCTATCTAGTTCACCAGGACCCAACTTTCGAAGCAGCAAGCGGACTTTCCAAGCATCATCCTGGTTAGCAAAGTCAAGTCTGAATAAGTCTTCGTAACATCGAAACCACATATCAAACGTGACATTGGATTCCGGATCGTAATGAAACTCAGCGATACTGTTAGCGATACCATCAACTGCTGGTGCAGTAGTAGTAGGATTAGAACTGCTTGGTTGAGTATTAGACGCAAGCTTTGCATCTGCTAACATTTGAATAAGTTTCATCTGCTGTTCGAGTAATAATTCAAGTTTAGAAGGATCCATGTTTCCGAAGCCACCCTCGCCAAATTTGCTAGGGTTGAAGATATCACGAGTACACTTAATCTGCGAACGAGAAACAAGACTCGGTGACCAAAGACCAGTAAGCTTGCTATTGATGCATCCCAGCCCCGCTAACTATGGGGAAAAGTACAAGCTTGGAATGGTGAAGTATATTCTGCAAACAGCCAGAAACGAGCGATAACAACAAACACAATTCAAAACGTATATATACAGTACAAAACTGTCCTTGGGAATGGTTACCAAATAGCTTGCTAAGAGACGCAACGGATCAATAGCATTTAAGGTAGTTCCCAGTGAGAAATACGACATGAAAGTGAAAAGAGCACCATTGACGCGAAAACAACGAAATTTAAATTTTCTTAATAAAATTACAAAATTAGGTACTTTCTCAAGTGAGTTCCGGGGATCAAACGTCCCCAACATATTCATCCTTAATCACTTTCTTATGTATAAGTATGTCAATAACTGTAGTAACTCTGATTTTCAAACCTTTTAGGTTGTAAGCAGCTGATGAAAACCCAACGAAATAAACTGAATTTATATTCTTCTACACCAATCTTTGTTCTTGCTCTCTTTAAAATAATAAAGGGAACTATGTGTATGAAATTTATATTTAGTTCTATTGAATATACTTCAGTTATTCACTTAATAAATCAGAAATGTATATCAGTCTATATTCTCTTTAAAAAATTATAATAAAATGAAATATTACTTAGATTAAGCAAAATACTACTGAATATTTGATTTATAAGTAAAATGTATTGTTATTGTTAAATTAATGTAAAACACCTACTTAATGATCTACAATACATTTTGTGATTACGATAAATCTATTTAAAGAAAATCAAGAGCAATGTAAAAAACAGGTTTCAATATCATCTATTGCTCTCCGATTTGAATGAGTTGATGAATAGTATTATATAAGTAATATATAAGTAATATAAGTAATGCATAGTTTGGTTATTTCTGTTGCCATACCGCTTACAAGAGACGAATTTTCATTTCAATAACGTATCTTAATTAAGCACAATGAAGAAATTTCAATGAAATATTCTTTTAAATATCCATCTCATTAATTTTTTTGTTGTAACATGCAAGCAATTTCAATTTTGAGACAAAACGATTTTAAACAAATTTGATGAAAGAATTTAGATGATTTATACTAAATGATTAATATTTCAAAGAGTAGAGAAGAAAGCTTACTTTTTTTCAAAGTTAAGTGTAACTTTAATTATTTAAGTTTCCTGACAAAAATGATTTGGTAACCAGTAGTTCTTTGTCGAACTGACAGTGTGGCTGAATTGTTTTATGAGAAAGAAAACATTGACTTTATGAGTTAACATTACATCCAAAACATAGAATAATGCATAATTTTAGTCGACATTATTATGTAACTATTGTAATAACTTAATTGAGTCACTTGTATTCTTTTCTAATTTTTTATGTCTGAATAACAGAAGATGATATTTCAATGGCTGGTGGTGACAGAAACTCTGAACCCACAATTGTACTGAATCCAGGTGATCCTGGACCATTAGATGTGAATTTTGGAGAATTGCTTTATTCTCGTTGTTCAGTACTTGATAGTAATCAATATTCATACAGATGGATACAACGTGCACCTGATGGGACTATAAAAGAAATATCTTCTGACGCTAGACTTTATATAACGAATTTTGGACCGGAACATTTACAGTATCCATTACGATGTGAAGTTACGCGATTATCAGATGATGAAACTTTTGAGAAAGTTTTAAATCTTCGACTAGGTAAGTTAAACGTTATTTCATTATTATAAGTTATTTATATATCACTTATTCAAGACGGTTTACAAATCAATTTCAAATATGTTTTAATTAGGTTTTCCTTAATTCAAGTAATTTGGCTGGAAATTACACCTGTGAACCTGTATAACCAGCGAATCGACTTGAAATTCTCCTTATTCATTAAGTTGCTCAGAATATATGAAAATGTAATAAATATGATAATGAACTTTATCACAATGTTATCAATTGATATATATTCAAAATGTTTTTTAATAAATAATCATTTTCAGAAGGGGTTTTGTTAAGATTTTAGTCATTTAATAATTGAATTCATGAGTCAATTAAAGCTAGACCACCATGAAAAACTTAGAAGCACTAAATGGTCGTTTCATTCTCGTATGAGACTCTTCAGCAATGCGCATCTACTATCCCGCAAATGGTATTCGAACCCAGAACTTATCGGTCTTGCGCGTGAAAGCTTAACTTTTAGACCGCTAAACTAATCGGCATTCAATGGTCGTTTAGTGCTTCCAAGTTTTCCATGACGTTCTAGCTTTAAATGACTCATGAATTGAACTATCAAATAATCATTCACTATTTAATCACATTGAAATTACTCCTCAAAACCGATTAAATAATTTACATTAGTCCAATAATATAAAAACATTTTTTTCAACAACAACAACAAATAAGTATTTCTATATTATTATCTTATAGAAAATTAGGTTAGAAGGTTATACATACAATTTGTATAAACTACATTAAAGTAGATGTGTTCGTTTTGTTTACTATTAATTTAAATAAACATCAACAAAATATTGGTATATCATAATCAACTATGAAAATTATAAGGTTTCATAAATTTCAAATAAATAACCATTATTTTAAACAATCATACATTTAATCGAATAGTTTCACAATGTTTAGGTACCAAGGTTAATGTAAGACTTTAAAGAGGAAGAAATGTATTTATAAAATCTTATCGAATAAATTTCGAAGTAAATTCAACATCCCTTTTTTTCCTTGAAAAAGCATGGATCAAATTGTCAGATGAAATGTTGGATTTACTTCGAAATTCATTCGCTAAACGTTTACAAATACATTCTTCCTCTTTAATCTTATATTTAATCAATAATATATATATATATATATAGCTTTGATGATTTTGATTTTGATTATTACCCTGAAGAAGTCTAGACAAGTTAGCTGGACGAAACGTTGAAATTATTTAAATTTCAATCGCTGAGATTATTTCAAATTATAATTTTCACATATAATGATATACATAGTAATGTTTCTTTTAAAATTAAAAATAAACACCAAACTTTATAGACAAACAGTAATATGGATAGTAACAACGAATATAATACTAACATAAATTTATCAAAATAGTTGAATTGAATAACTTTCTTATTATTATTTACAATATATACTGACATTAAATGAATATTTTCGTTTACTATCAACATTTTCTAATGTTTGTTTTGAAAAAAAAAACTGTTTTCTTTATCATGTGAATGTTCTAAAAAGAAATATACATGTATATATATACATTTATTCATTTAGGCAAAAGATGTTAATCATCCCCTATACACATAATTCATTTGTGATCTTACTAACTGCATGTAGATTGCATGAAATTAATTTTACTAAAGTTGAAAAGAAAAAAGAACCATTCAAAGTACCAGATCATGAATTTGGTTGATAATTTTTTTCTTTCATTTGTCATCATAATTATTATTAATTTATCATGAAGTGATCATTTTGTAATAATAATAATAATAATAAAGAGAATTATTTTTTCATATTAGAATGTATTTTATTAATTATCCAGCATCATCAGGTGAACTAAGTACTGATGATGAATATAAAACATTAAATTTAACTATCAAACCATTACCGAATGAAGATTTTCGTCAAGGAACTATAATGAGACAATGTTTATTTGAAAATGATCCTGAAATCAATGAATTATTTGATTTTCGTTGGATTGATCAAAATGGTCGTATTGTAACTAATGGTGATACATTGTATTTATTGGTGGGTTATCTATTATATTTCAGTTTCTTTTTTTATCACTTTATATGCATATTTCATTGAAACAAATAAAAAAAAGTTTCTTTTATTTCAGTGTTTAATTTCACTAGACAACAGATGATTCGCATTTTGGTACAACTAAACATTTTATGAAAATAACAATAGTTGACATCATGAGTCAATGAAAGCTAAACCACAATTGGTAAATCTCAAAGCATTGGATGAATGTAACGTCCTCATGTGGGACTTAATAAATAATTTAAGAAAAGTTAAAATAGTTTAATATGATCGGTTAATTTTAAAATGAACTAATTTCATACTGTATAACATAAATTTTTATTTTGGTAATTCATTAAACGGGTAGCCATAAATCAATTGTTGCTTGATACATTTAAGCTGTTTTTCCAGAAAACATCAATAGTTACATAAAGCGTTACTTTTACATCTATCATTTGAATAATTCGTTGTTTTTAAGTAAACTAAAGTTTTTAAAAAGACACATAGTGCGAATTTCGTCCCTTTAAAAAGAAACGGAGGAAATGTAACGATTAGATCTTTATCCTGAAAATCCTATTTAGAAATAAACTGATTCAGTTGTTATTTTATATTATGATCATTATACTATGAACAGTTAGTTGATATATCACGTGATATCCACATTTACATTAGTCAACTTCCCAATTTAAGATTTGACGATAGAGCTATTCGAGTCATGATTGGTCTCTATTTATATTACCATGAAATATAGTAATGTAACTCGATCGATAGAATTCAATCATTACTAAAGAACGAGATATACATAACATTAATCGCTACTCAGTAATCAATCAATTGCAAATTAGTGCTTTATCAGCTTCTAGACACTGTAATCACTGACAGATTATTTTTTTAAGAACGTTATGTTTAAATTTGGATGCATCTGGACGATCTAAACTTCGCAGATGATCTGTCCCTTCTATCCCAAACGCAACAACAAATGCAGGAGAAGACGACCAGTGTAGCAGCAGCCTCAACAGCAGTAGTCTCAACATACACAAAAGGAAATGTAAGATTCTCCGATACAACACAACATGCAACAATCGAATCACACTTGACGGAGAAGATTTGGAAAACGTAAAACCTTTATATATCTGGACAGCATCATTGATGAACAGAGTGGATCTGATGCGGATGTGAAGGCGCGGATCGGCAAAGCAAGAATAGCATATTCACAATTGAGGAACATCTGGAACTCAAAGCAACTGTCAACCAACACCAAGGTCAGGATTTTCAATACAAATGTCAAGACAGTTCTACTGTATGGGGCGGAAACCTGGAGAACTATGAAAGCCATCATCCAGAAATACATTGTTTATTAACAGTTGTCTACGGAAAATATTTTGGATCCGTTGACCGGACACTATTAGCAACAACGTACTGTGGGAGAGTACAAACCAGATCTCAGCGGAGGGAGAGATTAGGAAGAAGTGGTGGAAGTGGATAGGACACACATTGAGGGAAGCACCCAACTTCGTCAAAAGACAAGCCCTGATATGGAATCTTCAAGGCCAAAGGAAAAGAGGAAAACCAAAGAACACAATACGCTGAGAAATGGAGATAGACATGAGAACAATGAACAAGAATCTGATGGAATTAGAAAAGAAGGCCCAGGACAGAGTGTGTTGGAGAATGCTGGTCGGCGGCCTATGCTCCATTGGGAGTAACAGGCGTAAGTAAGTAAGTGAGTAATATTTAAATTTCTGGTTTACACCTTTTTGTCAAGTTATTCAGATCATAAACACTTTACTACAAGCAAGGTGTCGTATTATAAATGGGTAAAACAACAATGGTATCTTACAAAAAACCTAACTGTTTAGCTGACAATATTCGTAACATCATAGTTTTTTCTGTTTTCCCATGCGTTAATTTAACATGTTACTAAAATCTGTGTCTTGCATAAATTAGTTTGCATGATTAACATGATTATGAAATGATATTGCTTGCTTCATTGTTATAATTGTTACATATTCTATTATTATTTAGTGTATTTCTATAATTACTAAATTAGTTCATTTTACTAACCAAAATATTTAACCAATTTGTTTTTGGTTTTTTTCCCTACAACAATCATCATTATTGTCATCATGTATTCGGTGATCATCTCCTCTCATTTTATTCATCTTAACTGTTAATACTGCATTCATCATCATCATCATCATTATCATTCATTCACTCATTATATCATACATTTATTGAAATCTATCGTCATAACAATCTATTATAATCCATTGAAAAACAAAAAAAAACATTACATTACCATAAAAAATCGTATTAAAGATTGAAGATCCGAGTGAATTGAGCAATTATACATGTGAAGCAACCAATCGTCAAACAGGTGTAATTTACCAAGCCAAATACCGTGTATCTATGCTGAACGGTCAACAAGGTATGATGTAATAAATAAATGACGTGTGAAGACACCTAATCAAAGCTATTGAGTATTTATTGATAAATAAGAAGAGACTGATTTTACTTATCTTTTTTTATGAAGATGTAACAATTTAATAAAGTTTAATTTAGAATCTATGATTAAACGTACAATTTAGAAAGTAAAAGAGATTCCAGTATCACTTTAAATGTTATAAATAGTAATGTGTTTGTTAACTAAACTACCAATTGACAAGTTTATCAATATACTTATCAATAAGCCTTTGAATAAATAATTTCATATCACTCTTTGAATGGGATAAGCTGGCATTTATTGATTTTTATCTATTTATTAAGACATAAAAATTAGTACAAAGAAACATTAAGTATATATGTGCTACACAAATCATTCGATTTGTTTAAGGGTTGGAATACTCCTTAGGCGCCAAAATCGAAGCAGATGGTTTTCTTAGAGGGCCACACCACTGACATAATATTATTTACTTTCAAAATAAGTTTTCAATACTAATTGAATTGCTTCTCGGAAGCCGTAAATATTACTCAAACAAAATGTAGTTAAAATTGGCTAAAGAATCTGATTTGTAGTTTGACTTTAGGTGATAAACTGATGAGTTATTTCTAGTTTCAAATTTTCACTTCATAGACTTAAATCAGATAATGAATGATGTATATGTGGATATCTATTTCTTATTGTCATATCCCATCATATGGAAAATTAAACTAAATTAAAACTCTAAACATATTGAAATCAAATCACTGATTAATAACGGTTTATTTCATTTATATAAATGATATTTAAAATAGTAATTGTTAATAGTTACCTTAAACAACTAATATTTTCCACATAATAATCTATTCTACCGTATAATATCTATATTACTAATCAATTATAAGATGATAAATGTTTATGGTTTGTTCACTATTATCAGTTTACTTGTTATGCATGAAACATTATTAACCTACATCAGTCAAAATTACATAATATATATATATATATATATATATATGCACTGTTCATCAACTCTGTTCTAAACTGTTTTAAGTGTAAGTTATTGTGTCACTCTATACTAATCAAAATTGTTATCAAAACGTTATAACAATAACCATCCTCCTCACAATTCTGATTGTTATTTCTGCTGTCGTCATGTTTATCATCAGTTTTTTTTTATATTGTTATTGTATACATAAATAATATTTTCCCTAAAACTACAATTTCAAGTCTGTAACCGATCAATTCCAAATTTTTTTTTGCTTTTATTCTTCAAACTACTTTTTTAAAATTTATCTCTTATTCATTAGCATTTTGTCCGATTACATACAGACAGGAACATTCACAAGAATATCCTGTATAGGAAGAAGAAAAAAAACAAATTTATGAGCGTTTTTTTCTTTTTACTTCAAATGATGGTGATTATATCACAGCAGAAATAGTTATTATTATTATTGTTTGCAAAACTACATTTTTGCTGATTCATCATCAACTAGTTCATAAATAGGCATTAACTGGTACGTCAATTCTTCCCAGTCAAAAGATCATAATAATTATTCCATGTTAGATGTTTAGTATTCAGTAGATACATATATATATATATATATATATATATATATATATATATATATAATCCATAATATATAATAATATGTTAAAATATAAAACGAGTCAATTTACGTTGTCTAGGTTTCAAGTAGATATGTATTCAACGGCTTAGCAACATAACACATACATATGCACACAAACTATACTATTCATTCAATAAACACAATCAAGTCGATTATATATATATATATATATATATATATGTTCATTTTCAGCAAAGCAAATCTTGTACAAAGCTGATTAATCATTTAAAACAAACAATAATGTCAACTGTTATTTTTCGTCATGTTGATAAAAAGTAAAACCAAAAAAAGAAAAAAAATTATATTCATTTTATCCCTGATTTATATTTCATATTTTCCACTAGACTGTGGATAATAGTGAATTATCTAACTATTTATTGATTAGTTTTAATTAGTTAAACGACAATTTTCACAGATTGAAATCATGAGTCAATTGAAGCTAGACCACCACGGAAAACCTGCAAGCACTGGACAGCCGTTTCGTCCTAGTATAGGACTCCTCAGTAGTGTGCATCCACGATCCCGCACCCCACGAGGTTCGAACCCAAGATGTATCATTCCCGCGCCAAGCGCTTAACCAACTAGACCACTGAGCCGGCAACCAGATTTTCCACGGTGGTCTAGCTGGAATTGACCCATAATTTCAATCTGTGAAATTTCTAAAATTTCCACAAACGCCTTGAGACAATTTTAAATAAAAAAGGAGGAAAAATCGAAAAAAAAGAAAGAAAACAACATGAGAAAAAAATAAGTTAAATAATTCATATAAAGTATCCATGTGTTATATTCTGTAATGTAAAAAAGAATTCTCATCTACGATAGTTACCGGAATTAAATAGTTTACCTATGTAACTGTCAATTAAATATTTCTTTTTTTTCCTTCTTCCTTTTTTTCTTTCATCTAAAATTTATTATACACATCTAAAATAAGCTTAATTGAATTTTATGGTTATGTATTATATAACTAGAAAATTTAATTCAAATTAGATTTATGATATGGATGTGTTTTAATTTTTCGTCATCTAAATAATATAGTTTCATAAGAATAATTACTTGACACTATAGTGTGTTTTATGACATATATCAGTAATTTAAGGATTAGATAATTGTACTATAGTGCTATGGAGTTTCATATTGAAAAAAGGAAGTAACCGATCGTTGTTTTTCTTTTTTCTTTTTTGCTTTTTATCTACTTTCGGCGAGACTAGTTTTAGGGACGACCTTTGAACGAATCTTAAATAACCTTGACAATTATTAGCCAATCAGAAGACAGTTAGTATTAGGTGAAAATATCTTATGAGAAAGTAATGAATTACAGTGGGTATTCTCCTTTTACATGAGTTAAAAAATTGTTAAGGTTCGACAAAGGTTCAGAGGTTCTCAATTCATAATGCATACCGTATAGAAACTCGTCCATAGGGTTAGGGGTTAGGTTTAAGGTTTGGGGGTTAGGGCTTAGGTTTAGGGTTAGGGTTAGGGTTAGGGTTAAGGTTATGGTTAGGGTTAGGTTTAGGGTTAGAAACGTAGCCTCTCAATAGGGTTAGGGTTGTAGCCTCTCAATAAGTACCTCTTCTCTAAAATTCACTGCGAACTGATCGTATGTTAGCATCGCGTGTTGAACTTGGCTCCATGACCTTGAAATTGCTCTAACGCTTCTGATTATCTCGTCCCTAAATTAGAGTCTCGCCCTACTTTCTAGCAAATGTTTGAATAATCTTATAACTTTTCAAGCTTAATATATTATTCAATAAATATTTAAAAACTAAGTTGATTCACATTTCAATGGAGTGGTAAATGTAATACGATTATTATCAAATGTATCTATTAATGGTTTTATAACAAGAAAAATAATAACGAAGAATGAAGTTGTTCCCCAAACGTAGGCCACTGAATAGACGTCACAAATAACTTCTAAATGATGATGCCAAATTTTCAGTTGAAAAGTCAAAACAAATGTTATCTTTATAAGATTTTAATGGCTTATCAACTAAAGTGAAGCAACAAAAAAAAAGAAGAAGAACTACACTTTTATGTCAATTCATTGAAAATTCCCGTGATTGTGTTTTTTTTTTGTATTTGAAGTAGTTTACAGACAAAATCTGGTTTTCATAATCATTCGTTTTATAATGTTTATAAATATTATTCACATGAATATATTTTAGGTGAAGGAAACATTTTGCTTTACCTAAATACTGAATGTATTTATAACTAATATTGATTAACACATTTCTGTCTCAAAAAATCATTATTATGGATAACATAATTGTCTATGTATGACAAAGCTATGTTCGATAAAATCTGAATCTAAATAATTATTTAGGAGTAAATTGTTACAAATAGATTTTAGTGAGATTTGATTATGTTCATGAATTTGAGGATATTTTTGGGGTATTAGTTGATTAGCATCAAGTAGAAAATGAATACAAGTCAAAGGATACTCAATAGATCGTTCCATGATAACATATTGATTGTAACTCAATCATATAGTAGTTGAAGTAGACATATACTATGACACTGAATTATCATCATATCATATAGCTAACTAACTAAAATTAGATATATACGTTTGTCTCGGGCTCATTACTTTTGATGTAGTCTCTATGTTTTTATTTACTAGTATAGAAGTTATGGAGACTGTTAAGTTTTTGACTGAGATCATGAACCGATTGATATTAGACCACCATTAAAGACATGAAAGCACTGGATGGCCTTTTCGTCCTATTGTGCGCATCCACGATCCCGCTCGCGGGATCGAACCCTGGGTCTTCTGTCTCGCGCGCGAACGCTCCATCTAATGGACCACTGAGACGGCATCCAATGGTGATAGTGTCTAACATCAACCAATCCACGAAATTGCGCGATCATCTTCCATTGTACTGAGGTAGATACCTGTCTCTACCCGACACGAATTAGCTCCACTGATCACGGCTTCTCACTAGAACTCCGAGAATTCTCTCACGAAGCTAGTCACTAGTGAGCACATGCCAATTACTAGTATAGGTATTGTGGAGACTATTAAGTTTTTTACTGAGATCTGTCTATGTTCACTGGTTCACATTTTTGTAAACTCTTAGACAATGCCAAAGTAACCATTTCAGCCTCTCTAGTCTCCAAATGCTGTTAGTTTTTAGTGTATATAATGTTTATCGTATAAATGTTCACAACTAAATGAATATTCTACTATTTTTAATTAACGTATTAATACTAAGATAATGGACTTCTAAATGAAATTGTTTGTTCAAATTGTCTATCATATTGCGTCGTATGCTACTTATGTTTGTCGACTTAAGTAGTATGTAACATCAATCAGAAGTGAAATACCTGGCAGCAAAAGGTTGAGAAGATAGAATTGAAGATAATAAAAATGTAATCAGATAGTAATTGTAGTAAAAACAGAAATGAATGAACGATGAATTTTGTAAGAGACAAACTGTTGGAAGATGTACAAATAAAGTACTTAATATATGGTACTTCAAATTTTACCAAGGCACTCTATAATTTTGAATTACAAGATAAAGTGGTTTTCCCCACCTGAGATCCCATTCACTACAATATGACTGTGCTATGAATAATGAAGATAAAATGTAGAAGAAGAAACAATAGTTCAATCTCACAAATTCCCAGTATTGTTATACTATGAAATTGGTCAAAGAGATACCAACGACAGACATGTTATCAAAAAAGTCTAAGTATTTCAATGGAAACTCGATTACTAATAACAATCACTTACCTATATAAACTGACCACTTCAAGAGTTCTTCAGAAACAATCGTTATGTAAATATTACTTAGAAGTCATTTTTTTGCAAGTATTCTGCAAATAAATAATGCTTATTATTAATTTAGGCTTTTGATCCATGAGTAAATAAAATTATATGGTGGTGAACATAGTTACTCGTTAAAGCAAATGTTTGGACAAATATTTTTAAGGAATTTACTGATTACATGTAAGCACTTAAGATTTTACCAAATAAGTGAAAATTACCTGTGGCTGTTTTGCAAAAGAATGCCGTTTTCAATATTACCACGGATCTATTTCAATATGATATTAATTATGAACAACATTATTTATTTAACAATAATTATAGCTATGCAGCATATTGTTAATATTCGACCAATTACTGGTGAAGTCATCATTGGCAGACCGTATGAAATGGTTTGTGAAGTTGAACCGCAACCGGAAGAGCCAATCAGTTTTGTATGGTATCATAATGCCAAAGTTGTGCATCGTGAAGCATTATTACGTTTGAATTCATTATCGTATCGTGATATAGGTATGTATATATGTCGAGCTGAATGGACACCAAGATATTCACGTACTGCTATATCAGCTAATGCAACAGCTGAATTAAGTTTGGCATTGACACGAGAAACAAAAATTGGTAAGTTCTTCGTGCTAAATATATAAATCTACACATCACAACATAAAAGGACCACCTTTAGTTTGAAGAACAAACAGTCCTTATGGTAACATATATAACTGAATTAACAAGTTTGATTATTGGAATTGTTATGTTAAGCAATAAAATATCAGGATGATTGAAATGTTAACAGTATGTCTTGACAAAGCATGCTCAATTTCTGTTAGGTTCCGATAAGCATAATGAATGGTAACTTTTGGGATCCATTTATGGATCAATAATATGCCTATATTTTTATCGTATAATTGTTAAATAACTAAACTGTTCATATTCATATTTCTCTTATCATAAGCTTTATTTGACCCATGAACTATTGCTATACGATCTACCATTCTTGAATTATCCCCTGTCTATTAATTACTACCTCCCTCATTCACAGCCACTTTTGGCTAATTCTTGTGCAAATGTTATTTTCTATTTTATGGTATGGTATATAAACCCAGTATGCATGAAATGAATGATTCATATCGCAGAGGCTGAGATTAGCGTTCTGGACTTAACTGGCTGGGCTAGGAGGAAAGCAGGACCAATCAGGACTCTAGGCTGCTCGTAAGGGTTTTACGAGTCATTGGTCCGACCGACAATTCACTGCTCTCTAATTGGCGGTATCGTTACGTTATACATTAACAGGGCACACAGGCTACAAGTTATAACAATTTCTAGCTAGTTAATTTAGGTTTTTATATCAAACGATGAAGTTTTAAAACAAGTAAATCATTCAGCTAACATTTACTTATTACTATGTTGTATTTATTAATTCAAGGAGTTTTGTCTGTTAAAAGTTTATATATCGAATTATGTATGTGCTTTGCAAATCCGGAGCTATTCACATAAAGTATAATGTATTACTGCCTAATGTCAGCGACATTCATCCATGTTGAATAAATTGCTTCTATTTCCATATCATTCACTATCATTTAAGTAGAGGAAATTAAAACAGAGTGACCCATTTCAGAATCTTTATAGTCACAACTAATGGAAATGTGAACTAAAAAATTTTGTTTTTCTAGAAGAGATCCGATTCTTGCAATACCACAGATAATCACTGGAGTACGCATCATTAAAAATTAGCTAGCTAGTTTAAGAAATAGACAAAATCGGTTAATTAAACATGTTTCATTATCTTCTTAAAATTTAAGCTTGCTTAATATTTATTTGATAAATTAGTTATTAATCATGAAGAAGTTATTCAGTCATAACATCATTAGATGTTTCTTTGTTCATAACAAACTATAAAAAGACTTATGACAGATATTAATCAATCTTGAAAACACGTTAAATGTACTTTACTTATATTTTACATTTGTAGAAATGAGTCCTCCGCCTGGTTCAGTTATGGTTTCTTTACCTGGAGAAACACGTGAACTTCACTGTGAATTTCCTGTAGCTAATCCAAGAGATGTTAGGTGGTATTTTGAAAATCAATTATTAGAGAATCATCCAACTGTGAATGCTACAGGCAAAATATTTCGTATCGATCGTTTAAGAGTAAGTATTGTGACAATTCGTGGCATAGAATATGATCATGGAGGAACATACGAGTGCAGAATTGGTCGTGATATAAAACAAGCACATTTAGTTGTTAGAGGTAAGCCTATCTTCTCATAAGACAACTTTTGTAAGACCAGTAACTTCATTTTAAACAAAACTACATAATATAACTGCCTTAATTAAAATAGATTTATAAAACAGCAAATATTACAACTGGCAGTCTGGCTGTTGTCGAGACAGAGATGTTAGCATAATACAAGTTTCTACTGTAATAATAAAAATTATTAAGTGAACATTATTAAATGAAGCATTTGCATTACATAATTGACAAGTAATTTTCTGATTTATCTAATTTTCGAGATGTTCAAAGTTAAGGTTATCAAGATTAATTGAAATCTAATTAGTTGTATCGAAATGAATTAAACGATAATATTTAAAAAAATCAGGAATCATTCTATACCCATTATGAATAAGTCGTGTTTACAACATTAGATAGTATTGACTTAGCAAATAAATATTTCATTCAAACCTCGATCCTTGTCAAACTTCTATAGGACCTATTATTTACTTACTTACTTACTTACGCCTGTTACTCCAAATGGAGCATAGGCGCCGACCAGCATTCTCCAACCTACTCTGTCCTGGGCATTCTTACCAGTTCTATCCAATTTTTGTTCATTCTTCTCATGTCTGTCTCCATTCCTCTCCCGTAGTAGGTTGTTGTTGATAGTGTCTGGCCAACGGATCCAAAATATTTTCCGTAGACAACTGTTAATAAACACCTGTATTTTCTGGATGATGGTTTTCGTAGTTCTCCAGGTTTCCGCCCCATACAGTAGAACTGTCTTGACATTTGTATTGAAAATCCTGACCTTGATGTTGGTTGACAGTTGTTTTGAGTTCCAGATGTTCCTCAATCGTAAATATGCTGCTCTTGCTTTGCCGATCCGCGCCTTCACATCCGCATAAGATCCACCCTGTTCATCAATGATGCTGTCCAGATATATAAAGGGTTTTACGTTTTCCAAATCTTCTCCATCAAGTGTGATTCGATTGTTGCATGTTGTGTTGTATCGGAGAATCTTACATTTCCTTTTGTGTATGTTGAGACCTACTGCTGTTGAGGCTGCTGCTACACTGGTCGTCTTCTCCTGCATTTGTCGTTGCGTGTGTGATAAAAGAGCCAGATCATCTGCGAAGTTTAGATCGTCCAGCTGCATCCTAGATGTCCACTGTGTCCCGAGTTTCCCTTCAGATGTTGACGTCTTCATGATTCAGTCGTTCACCAGGAGAAAGAGAAAGGGTGAGAGTAAGCAACCTTTCCTGACACCGGCCTTTACTTCGAACGACTTTGTCAACTGTTCTCCATGCACGATTTTGCAGTTCAATCCATCATAGGAATTCCGTATGATATTGACTATCTTCTGAGGCACGCCGTAGTGTCGAAGAAGCTTCCATAGTGGTGTTCTGCTCACGCTATCAAATGCTTTTTTGTAGTCAATGAAGTTGGTGTAGAGCGATGAATTCCGTTCAATTGATTGTTCCACAATGATCCGTAGAGTTGCGACTTGGTCTGTACAAGAGTTCTTTGAAGTGTTCTACACACCTGTTTTGCTGTTCTTCGATGTTGGTGATTACTTTGCCCTCCCTGCTGTTCACTGGTCGTTCCGGTTTACGATAGTCTATAGAACCTATATATTATATTACTAAATTCAATGAATTGAGATTTCGAAATTTTTTTAGTAGGCTCATTATTTTGCTATAAAAACTACTCATTAATATTATATCTGTGTTGTATAATCTAGTCTTAGCTAGTAAAGTAAAATAAAACCATACGTTAGAACGAAAGATATTTTGTGATTAAAATGCATTTTTACTAATTAAGATTTTTCTTTATTAAACAGCTGAAGAAGGATTGGAAATCAATCCAAAATCGGATACAGTTGATGAAGGTGAAGCAGTAGAATTTCATTGTCGTGTACATGGAATGGATGGTAACATTAATCGTCAATTAGAATGGTATTATAGACCATTTTATAGTTCGACACGTGTACGTCTTGATGTTGATGCACCTGATAGTTTTATGCGTCATGATGATCTAGTTGCTCAACATACCAGTTTTATTAGTAAAAGCAGAGCACGTGTTGCTGATCAAGGTGAATATATTTGTAGACTACCATCTCAAAATGAAGAAATTGTCGGAAAACTTTTTGTTAGTAAGTTAAAAAATTCACTTACTTTTTTTAACAGTCTTATAACTTGAAACATTATACTATTTTAACTTGATCTGGTTTTTCATAGACCTATAATACTGAACAGTAAAATGAAAAAGAAAAACTTCATCAATATTTAATATAATATGTTGAATTTCACTTAAATGTTAGATATAGTCGGCAAATAAAAGCCTCTAAATAAACAGGATTGCCTGTCATATACATGACATAAAGTTAAACTTTGCACAATATCCAACCTCCCGCCTACATATATATATATATATATATATATGCCTTTAGAAAAAAATTGTTTCCGACTAACTTTGTTTATCTGAACTATTTTTATTTCATCATATTTCACTTCAACATGTAAGTAAACATTCCTTCTACCTTTCAAATCTCCCGCTTTACTCAATAAAACAGTTGATATGAAGTTAACACAAACTAATAGGCCGATCACATGTTTTTTTAGCATTCAGTATGTTGATTTTGACCATATATATACTGGTAACATTCATATCGAAAATAGTAATGATAATGCACATGAATGGAAAAGGTCACTAACACATAAATACTATGATAACAATAATAACAATATTACGGTTGCTGTACTTTAGTTGCTGACAATCATTTGGCTAAGGGGAAAAAGATATGCTTTTCTCTGTTAGACTAAAGACAATTAATTTATGTAATTTAGCTAAATTTTAATAAAATAATTTTAGATTAAATATTTACCCATTAAAGTAATTAATAGTTGCTTTGGATTAACTCTTAAGTTAATGATTAATTGTTAAGTATAGATACGCGTTTAATACATGAACTTAATTTGTGAAAATTCATGAAAATACAAAAGACGAAACGGCTGTCCAGCGCTCTCAAGTTTCCCATGGTGGTCTCCCATGGCCACGCGCATACAACCAGGGAATTCATACTCACTGCCTTCTCGCGAAAGGGGTGCTTTTTACAAAATTGAGAGGTTCGAAAAGTGAATATCCAGCGCTTTAACCAAGTTGGTGGATATGGAGAAACCTCCTAGGGGAGTTGGAAAACCCTGATTTTAAATCAATGGTGCACATGAGCTTCAGGATCCTAAAGGAACATATAGCGTATGAACCTATTGTTGGTGACCGGCTAACATGGGACTGCATCTTCTGACGTTACTCCACTACCTTGTGGATCAGACCTCTAGGTCAAATGCTCCGGGAACCACCTGTTTCAGTTTGGGCACCTGGGCAGTATCCCAACCCTCACACAAATCAAATGATTTATGTGGCGCATACCTATTTTGTACCTCTTTGTACCAACGTTTATGTGTTTAAACAATAGAAAATTGTGGTCTTAGCTTCATATGGTTCATGAACTCAACTATTGAACTACTGTAATATCCACAAAACCCCTTTCTGATACAATGAACTGTCAAATAACTTGCTTTGAATAATCCTAATTTAATAAAATAGAAAAATTTCATCAACTTTAAATAATCATTCCATTAAATTACCAAATGTAAAACCTCACAGAAGTACAGAAACAAAAAACAATACACTTAGTTTATAATAGACTTCAGTGAATTGCAATCTACTTGATAGACTAACATTTTAATGTTTCCTTACAGTTGTAATGACCAAACTTATAGAACGTTTATACAATTCAACCCATCTATAAATTTTACTAAACCAAGAATGATGACAGTAGCAGAATACCATGAATTTATTTTATTTTACTGTTTCTTGTTAGCTGTTTACAACTTAAACATAGTAGTATTGTAGTGAACAGAACACGAGTGGGGACAATCGAATTATATTTAGCATAAAATTACGGAATTACTTGATAAAATAGAAAACCATACTATAATACTTAATTTGCAAAATGTTCAATAATTGTCTCAAACTTCATTGTTCTTGCATTTCCATACTAATTGCTTTCTATTCCCGTTCTTCCTTTCTTGACTTCCCCATCTTCTGCTGCCAGACATTACATTTCTGACTCGAGTTACATACTACTTATATCAATATAAGTAGCACGCAGTATGATATTATTCTTTAAAAATCATTGTACATACTTTATATCATAAAGTCGGAAGAGTTTTCTTCAATGAAAATTAATGAAAAAGGTTATAAGTATGAACGAACAAAAAGCGATGTTCATATGTTAATTAATGCTAATATATAAGTTAAAAATAAAAATATTCTAGAATAAATGAGAATATAGAGACAAAATTATGTAGAAACAATATTTACGTGTTTTAGTTATGCAACTCATAACACAAAATCAACTAACCTAGCACATATCAAGTTTCTCATAAATGAATCTGCCACGACTGATCCCAGTGGGCTACCCATAACCATTTTATCAATATGATGATATAAGATTTTATTGAATCTAAACTGAATAATTCTAGTATATATTAGTAGAAGCTATTTAAATTCATCTTTAAGTCAACGTGTTTACCTATTATCTGGTTGGTTTCCTCTAATGCGATTGTAGTGAATAATAATGGTACATCAAAGAAAACCATGAATTCATCAGAAATGTCCACTTTTTCTTGCAGTTCAATAAATTGAAAGGTGTCTTTTAAACTGGAGTAGGAGAATGAAAATGTTTTCATGCTGCATTAAAATCTTAAAGCTTATTGATGATCTTTAGGTAGGACTTTTGACTGTAGAATTTGGAAATATCAACAAATATTATAGGAGCTTAGACTATTTTAAATTCCACAACTGAATTATTGTCATAGTAAGATTTCACTTGTATAACATTTTATTTATTTTCAATTCTATGATTGTAAAATAATAGGAATTCATGAGTCAGTAATTCAAGATGGATTGTAAGTATTAGAAAGCTCGATCATCACAATATTTTATTTGATACCATTTGACTCTCTTAAAGGAATAAAATTGTCAATCTGTACAAACAAATCTTTTAGGACTATATTTTATTTAGTCTCTAAAATATGCAAAATATTATTGGAATCGGAAACAATCAACCTTATTTAAATAAATAAATGGTGATATAGATTGAAATATCTAAAATTGAAAAAAGGTCAATTCAATATGAGAATTACTCAATATCGTGAGAATTATAGTGGTTCCTCATTTGCAACCATTAGGAGTACTTAAATTATGGCTTAGTAGTGTAGTATGGTTAGTAGACAAACTTGACAGTAGGTTGTCTTTATGTAAGAATTTAGACTTCATAAAGTAATATGGAATCTAGTAGTTATTTCAACTTGTTTTAAGATTAAATGCTATGAAAATGATATCTTCGAGCTATCATTCTGTAGATATCCAGTTTGTTAATTTGCTATTTACTTCTAACTTTATCGTCATTAAAGAAATTCCTATGCATCCAGATACATATAGACCGTTATAAAGTCAGCAATTATTCCCAATACATTATATAAAGAAGTCTCTTTTAAATACCAATCCTGTTCAAGGGTTCACTTAAAAGCTCTTGGTTAGTGTAAGGTAGATAATTAATCGAAATTTTAATCCTAAGAACCGTAAAATATCCTTCAAACAGTTGAATATCAATTAATAAAAGGAATGATAGAATTGAAAGTGCCAAGTTCCATGAATCTGTTAGGATAACAAATTTTTTTAAATTCAACCTGATCGGTAGTTTTACACAAAATAACCATGAAAGATTGTCTTAATAGTCCACATGTCTTATTTAAATAGTTTATACTGAATTTCAATTGTTTTTTTTAACCACAAAGGAGCAGTAAAAAGTTACATATTGACAATCACACCTCAGAGATTGACTGTTCGACCATATCAACCAGTAGAGTTTGAGTGTTTTGCCGCATCTGAAGATGGACAACCGGCTCCATTTACTCCACGATTTCGAGTTAGAGATTCAAGAATCAGTTTCGAAACTACACGTGTCAGTGAAAACCGTGCAAGATTTGTGTTGCAACGAGGATTAGGTCCAGATCAAAATGGAACGATTGTTGAATGCCTTTCAGATGTAAGACTAAAATATCCTAAATATTTATATATTATTATATTGTTTATATATATATATATATATATATATATATATATATATATATATTTGATTCATTATTAATTTAGAAGTACACTTTCATCCAAATGGTGGCAAATTTATATCTTCCTATTCCCAAACAGTTTGCACACAGTATCACCGTAATACATATATCATAAGACAGATATATCCTATATCAGCCATAATTATTTACCGTCTCTAAGATAAATAGTATTAAGCATACATATTTAATTACAATTCACAAAATTTCCAATATTGTTTCACTAGTTATTCTAATAAACATTCGTAAATAGTTACCATCTTAACTGCCATAGATTTGACAAATATAAATATTTTTTTGTTTCAAATGACCATGATAAATATGCAACAGTAATTCAATTGTACTTCAACAAAACATGATTAATCAATCTGTTGAAACTATATACCGTTATTTTTTTTGTACCATTTTTTGAGCTATTTAAAGGTAGTCCACCCAGTAATCTATTGTACATTTATGAATAGTTTTCAAAAACTAAATCCCCTTTACAAAAATCAAACGATTTTTGATCAATATTCAAACTTAGTACTTTTAAAATGTTTAGTCACTAACTGAAAACAAAAAGAAAAGAAATGTATTTCAAACATTGAACAGAATATTTCCCATTATTGATCAGTTTCATGAAAATATGTTTGATTCCTATTGGTTGCTAATTCAATGAAATGAAATCAAATGTTAATGGGTTCCGAATTAAATAATATACACATATATACTGCATAAACGTAGTCTGAGCGGAATATTAACTTGAAGAATCTGAAGTGACAATTCTTCATTCCTGTAATATGTCCGTAAATTATTCGGTTGAATAGGAAAGTATTTCTATATTTAAATTTTGAAGATGGACAACTAAATACGAACAGTAGTTCAATGAAAATGGATGAAAATGATTATTTGTCTTTAAAATTTTTGGGAAACCATTTTAAATGTCCCTTAATTTCAAATAGTTATTCATCAATTGGTATCAATTAAATGAAGTAAACTATCTTAATCATATACAGAAGATAGACTAATGATCGTTTACTTTACTATTACTTTGCTTGAAGTTTATCCATTTTCTCATAAAGAGAGAAAGAAATGAATTAGTTCATTTTATACACCGTAACCTTTTCAATCTTTGTGTTGTCATACAAATTGTTAATAAATTTGGTTATAAATTACACAATGATTTATGACTTATAACGTAGGCTTTTGTTTGCTTTTATGAACTTAAGAAAATTTTCAACATGAAAACTGAAAACATGAAATGATCAATCATTTAAATGAAATTATTATTGTGTCAGTTTATTTACACTAATTTTAAATTTTGATTACAGGAACCAAGTAAACCAACATCAGCAATAATTACAGTTGAAGATATCTGTCCAGATGGTTCACGTCGCTGTCGTTCTGGTCAGTGCCTACCAGCTGGAAGATTCTGTGATGGAGTGAGGGATTGTGATGATGGTTCAGATGAAGATCCTAAAATGTGCAGTGAGTAGGACAAATAATTTGTTGATTTGACTGAAAAAATTAAATTACAAAGAATAATTTAAACTTACCAACCTGTTCTATGTTATTATGATTCGTAAATTCCGGGAAATTAACTTGTGCCTAAATTTAGATTCACCCTCTTCGTATAATTACTTACATGATAAACTGACCGACATATAAGGCTTTTGAACTGTACACTAATTATCGAAATAACACTATAATCAGATAATATCTTGACCGTTGCAGTTTATTCTTACATTTAATTTTGTTGATGAGGTCACTTTTCCAAGCCTTCTAATGTTAGAAATATATTATTAACCTGGAAGAGGAAAAGAGAAAGGTTTTGCAAAAATACTTTCTGTAACAATGGCATTCTTTTGTTCCAAATATCATCACCAATATAAATTTAACAGAATCTTTAGTTTGAACATTTGTGATTGTAAACGAATGCGGAATCTAAATTGTATTTGGCTTTCGTATTTGTTCAGAGAACTAAAGTTGTTGAATATAAATGAAATTTTTACAACATACAGACATACTACATATATATGTACAACATACACTTAGAAAACTAATAATATGTGCGGAAGAAAGCACAAACAACTTGTCAAAAAAACCCGTTAACAAACATGGAAGAACACTTACACCGAAAGGGACTAAACTACAATACAAGTAACGCCTCAGAACTGGAGTCATCACTCAAAACTGCCGTGAAGAAACTCAACAGGAAATAAGACGAACTATGCTACCGCTTACTTGACGGATGAAACACAACACCCAACTGACTTCACAAGAACAAAAAGCTTTGAAAAAACTCAGAACGAGAGAAGACATTGTCATAGTTCCAGCGGACAAACGATGCACAACAGTGATTATGGACAAAGAAGAATATATCAAGAAAGCCGAGGAACTACTTGAAAATAAAGGCGGATGTAAATCCACTTAAAAGTTTGGATAACTGAATCTCAAAGTTTTTAAACAAGCTCGTCAAAGCGGGACAAATATCAAAACAAGATTAATGGAGAATGAAATTCAATGCACCATTACTCCTTTGATTCTACGGTAGGTAAAAAATACACAAACCAAATATGCCACTACGTTCAATTATAGCACTCCCCGGAACCACAGCACACAATTTATCAAGAGAAATTTCACGAATATCTAAACATCTACTAGATTCATTCAATCACTCCATCAAATTCTTCATACAATATAGGCGAGGTTCCAAATTATTTCTAACCAATGGTTTAAAGAAAACTTTCACGAAAGATAAATAAAACTAATTGTCCGACAGAATATATATGCTGTGTTTTTCTGTCTTATCACATATCATTACCATGTATCAATACTAATCTGTGCATACAACTGAAGATTTTTAGACATTTTAACGATATTCTAATTGTTTTTTTATAATCCACATGGTATATTAATCATAAAATCACTTTAATAATAAAGTATTTGTAGTCATTGACCAATTGTTCATTGAGCAATACATCTTCAACAATGTTCATTCTTCTCATTCACACTCAATAAAGTTATCTGTTTAGCGATGAATATAGTCTTTTATAGACAAAATTATTATCTATATTACTAATCTTGTATAGTATAAAAATATCTCTGAAGAGATAACAGATATAAACAGCATAAGTTGATTTCCAGTATTTCATGTATTTAAATCGTCTATTTAAAAAAGCTATTTAAGTAGTATCTAATTGTCAGAAAATTATCATTGAACTTTCTTGAATAACCTAATTTTTCGTCAAATAAATATCTGTAATTTTGTTTTGTTTTTGCTTGTTTATTTATTTTTTACATCAACTATTCATTAGATATTTGTGATCCACTTTCAAGAAAATGTGAATATTATCAAGGAAAAGAATCGACAGTATCAACATTTATGGTACATTGGACTTGTGATGGTGAAAATGATTGTGGAAATGGTTTTGATGAATCAAATTGTGAAGGTAAACAAATAAACAATTTTAAATTAAAATATACATTCATAATAAATTTACTTATCATGTATTGAAATCTTTTGGATAGATTATAATAAATTTTGATTTATTGTTTTATCAAATCATATTCTATATGATAAATTTCCCTTAGAAACTGTAGAACTGAATATAATGTTCCCTGGAACATTATTTATATGATAGTCAACTAGTGTGTCAATAATATCAATAAACTGTAGTAAAGTTATTCTAGATACGTGATCTGATTGTTTTGAAGTAATAATTAAAAACAAACTATTTCATTTTTCAATAGTTGAGATCATTAGTTAATTGAAGCTAGACCGCCATAGGAAATCCGGAAGCGTTGGATGGCTGTCTTGTCCTATTGTAGGACCTCTCAGCAGTCCGCATCCACAATCCTGCACGTGACATTCTTGTTTTGTTAAATTTTATTTAATCTACAAAGAAATAGCTGATAATTAATCATAAAATGTTAATTTTCTGATGAAGTAACTATTGAATGATTTTAAAACTAAAAAAACTGCAACCCAATGTAACGTTTAAAATTATTGAGAAAGAAATGAATTAATTGAATTTAGAGAGATTTCATTGGACAAAGCAAATGATCCAAGTCGACAAGATATTTGTGGAAACGTTTTTTCTTTTGAGGATGGTAGAATAAGATTTTGGTTGTTATCACGAATAAATCCATGTTCTATACCAAATAACGAACTAAGAAAAGACAAATCATATTTGTACTATACCCTACAATTATATACTTCTCAGTATAGATGTTGTGGAGGTCACTAAGTTTTTTATTGAGATCATGAACCGATTGATGTTAGATCACCATTGAAAACCTGGAGGCACTAAACGACCGTTTCGTCTTATCGTGGGGCTCCTCAGCAGCATGCATCCACAAACCCTGGGCTTCTCCCTCGCGCGTTAACGCTTCATCTAATGGATCATTGAGACGGCATCCAATGGTGATAGTGTCTAACATCAACCAATCCACGAAATTGCGCGATCATCTTCCATTGTACTGAGGTAGATACCTGTCTCTACCCGACACGAATTAGCTCCACTGATCACGGCTTCTCACTAGAACCCCGAGAATTCCCTCACGAAGCTAGTCACTAGTGAGCTTATGGTAATTATCAGTATAGGTGTTATGGAGATTGTTAAGTTTTTAATTGAGATCATGAACCGATTGATGTTAGACCACTTGACTGACCAATTGATTTTTCTAACTACGGTGTAATTATAATCAAATGGTAACAGAATAAAATGTCTATCCTTTAGATAGAAACCAAAAATATAACCTTCCTAACACAGTTATTACTAGATTTAATTAAATGGTTTTTTTATCTTGACTATTTGAAATTAAACCTTGTATTATTGAACTAGACAAGCGTAAGAGTTATTCATATTGTCGATTATCTTTGGTAATTAATAAAGTGGATAGATTTTAAAGGTATTACCATTATTCTCAATAATGTACATTATTGAAACTATACCAAATATACATAGTTTAAACAGTTACTGTAAATTCAAAGTTATTGCCATAAAAGCCATTCGATAACTCTTCTAGCTAATATTATTAATGTGTTTTCTGTGTTCACTGACGTGCAACCATTCAGATATTAACGTACTTATCGAATTCTACATCATTTCTAGGTATTTCAATTTGTATTCACCAATTTACTAATTGAACATGTTGGTCTATTCATAACATTTGCAAAGTATTCATGGTATAAATTTAAATAAAGTATTTTTTTCTCAATTCATTTATAAGCACGAGCTTCAGAACGTTGTCAAGATCGAATGTTTAGTTGTAAACGAGATGGTCGTCAAATTCCAATGGCTTTTGTATGTGACAAGGATCGAGATTGTAGTGATGGTGAAGATGAATTAACTTGTGGTAAGCTTGTTTAAAACAAACCACTAAAGTTTTATTATTTAAATAAACACTGTTCATTGGCAAAAAAACACAGGGTTTTCAAAAATATTTCTAAAGATGATAAGCCTATAATTTTGAAGGATCTAAAAATTTAGGAATTTAGTACTTCTATGTACTTGAATTACATTTTTTAAATATTATAAAGGATTATAAACGGTTTGAGGATATCGTTAAGAAAATATTCTCTCTTGAAATGTCATTAATTTTTCTACAACGACAAAACAGATTCCCGTTGACAAATAAATATGAATTTCAATGGTTAAGATCATGAGTCAGTTGAAGTTAGACCACCATGGAAAACCTGGAAGCACTGGTTTTCCATGGTGATCTAGTTTCAACTGACTCATGATCTTAACCATTAAAATTACTATAATATCCACAAAACCCATCTGAAAATATGTATATATCAGCTACCTGGAAAGTGAATAAGATAAATCAAACATAAATTATAAAATGTGTAAACCAGTTCAAAGAAAATTAATAAATAATAAACAATTATTACATAACCTATTTATTGGATTGTTGCTTAAATAAAGAATTTAAGTATTCATTGTAATGATAATAAGATTTAAATAGAATATTTAAAATATCTATTTATGATAGGAAAGTCCAACTATATATATATATATATATATATATATATATATATATATATCTTGTAGATAATATAAATTTGATATTTACCTAATATACATACTGTGGTGCATATTAATCTAATTAAAATAAATTATTCACTGATGGTTTGTTTAACTACAAAGTTAAAACTATAATTGTAGTATGTGTTACTGATACTGACAGATATAAGTAGTATGTATTAATAATCTAAAATGAAATATCTGGTAGTAGAAAGTTAAGAAGATCGAAGAAATTTAAACTGGAACAGAATGTGATTGGTGTGAAAATGAAGGAATAATCAAATCTGTGACAATTGATTGACATTTCGAAAATTAAGTGTTTATTGTATGGTTCTTAGATTTTACTAAGAGAATCTGTAAATTTTGTATTCGCATAGATCTGGTTATTCCTACTTGTATGCTCTCATTCACTACACAATCACTTAATTCAAGATATGTGTTTATTCATACATATTTTAGGAGTATATATGTTTTCAGGTTAACAATGAGACAAAAAGATTTTAGTTTTTCTTACATTATATCATGAGAATAGCTCGTGGGTATTCTGTTTGTAGGCATAAATAAAATAAGTTTAGATACACAATCCCAAATAAAACTGATGCGAATAAATAGATACTTTTAAAAATAAATCAGTTCAAATTGGTATATCCTTGGTGTTAGGTGATTGAAGGCAATCAAAAGGAAGCTTTGTATTTAAGATTGATGATTGTTGTCACTCTGCAGTTTTGAGATGCGACTAAGCTTTTGCTAAACTGAGAGTTTCATGCTTTTGATTATCAAATATTCTACTTATCTTTGACATTGGGTGATATGAGTTCATATTTCATTTTAGGTTATAATCCCTTTAAGATTCCAGATGAGTTATACTGCTGAGTAACAACTAGCATGAAATGTAGGTGTACAGTCATAAAGAAGAAAACTGTTCTAATGTCAAAAAACAATTAGTGCTGTCTTAATCATGATGATTAAAAATTCAAATATCTGAATTAAGTCAATAATATCAATTTAAGAAGAATGATGTGCAAACGTATCTTCCAGATAAAACAGATTTTATGTCTTTTAGATAACTATAGATAATTAACAGAAAATCTTGTACTCTAATCTTCTGTTTATATGTGTAAAGATGATTAGATTGGCTATTATTACCATTGTTGTTAAATATAATGAAGCACATATTTCGGCCAGAAATTGATATTTGATCCTGAATTCTACGCTCAGTGAAATGGCTCTTAGTACATTGTAATAGTATGCATTCAGCCGAGAATAAGTGAAAGGTCTCTTATTGATTAAAAAACATTCATAAGCTTCTAGACTATTTCATAAAAAAAATTTATCGTTTAACGTTAAATTATTTGATGGTAAGTGGCGTGGAGTGAAATAGTCAAACGCTTCGACAGTTCCACTTATCGTGAAAGTTCAATCAGCCCTATTTTTTTGGCTCCTGACGAAATCTCGACACGAATTCAGAAAGCTCGTTTCGCTTTTTCCAACTAACGTCATCTATGGCGAAGGCAAGATATCCGTCTATAAATTAAAGGACAAGTATACTGTGCAGCAGTTCGTTCTGTTCTACTTCACTACTGCACAACGCGACCATTCAGAGTAGAAGATACTCGTAGGTTACTAGTATTTGGTCACATATTTCGTAGAAATATTGCTCGCACCTGCTGAGATCACTGGGTAAGTAATAGTTAGGTTAGACGCAGGGTATTAGGGAATGATGTTAAATCAATTGTTGAGGTTGCGAACCTTCATCGACTGAGATGGTTGGGCCACATGTTATATATGCACGGACACCGATTAATACGGCGCGCAATGATGGCTGGTGTTGGAGATGGTTGGGAGAAAGTCAGAGGCGGCCAAACCAGAACGTGGCATCAGTCCTTGGAGTCACTAACTTCCGATTTGAGCCATGTTGGTAGATGCAGACTAATTAGTTGGGGTCCGCGTGACTATCGTAACCAACGGTTAGAGACTCTGGGTGAAATGGCTCAGAATCGACCACAATGGCGTAGATGTATACACTCTTTGTCTTCCCCTAAACTATGAGATTAAAATCGTTTCGACATTAAAATTACTCCATACCTTTCTTTTTACGAACCAATTCTTTCTTCCTGTATCATATCCTTATATGCGATCTTTGTCTACATATATATTACTAACATTGAAGTATCTGCTTTCATAAATTTGGTGTTTATCTTGTTGTGGTATCAAGGCATGGCCACTTGGACTGATGCATATATGTGCCTTGTCCTATGTTGTAGCTAACTGACTGACTGAAGTGGCGTGGACTACATTGATAAGTCATTTAGAATAATAATAAAGAGTACGCCTGATTAATAGATGCCTCTGCGTAATTACCAGTTATCAAACTGTGTTCATAATCAAATGCTCAATGGTAAGTAAAGACTAGCTTCTATTGTTTTGTAGTAGCCGTGAAAATGATCCAATAAAATGATAAGGTTCAAAGTAAACTGCTTTATCGAGTAACTCTCCAACAGTTTCATAAAGATTATACTGAAATATCATCAACATCACCTAAATTATTATTCTCTTCTGAAAGAGATCCTTTAGAATCTTTATTATATTCATGAACTTAGTCAACTGTGCATATTTGAAGATAACCACCTAAGACGTTTAGACTTACTTCAGGTGCTTTCTGTCAATTATGACACGATTTTATTTGCAATCGTAATGAATCATAGGCTTTATCATCTATCAGTATAAAATTGGAGAATATAAACTATGAATCAGTTTCATGTGTAACACTATTACTCTTATCAATATCTGAGTATCAGTTCTTTCAAGGTCCAATAACTATAAACAAAAGTATGCGATTATTATAAATCCAAATATTTCATTGCGTTTACCTAATATTGTTGTTCAAAGATATTCAACACACCATAATCCCTAATCACTTATAACAGACTATCCGAGTGTTTACAATAATGATTTATAGAATATTGCCGTTAAACAAACTGTCTTTAAAAGCATTTAGTTCGTATGTTAGTATTATTCTTGTTTGATTGCTTTTAATAACTAATTTAATTGGTAATCACTACTTTATAGCTCCGCCAATGATTGCCGAACCACGTACTACACGTTATTCTGTTCGTAGAGGTGATACTGTAGTTCTTGTTTGTGAAGTCACAGGCAATCCTGTGCCCTATGTGATATGGCGCTTCAATTGGGGGTGTCTTCCTGAGGAACCTAGTCGTTTCAGAATAAGCAATGTACCCAGAAACTGTAATGCACCTATGCCAACTGTCGTGAGTACCCTGACAATTTCAAATGTAAGACCAGGAGATGATGGAATTTATAATTGTGAAGGTCTTTCAGGAGCTACTCGAGCGTTATCCAATGACTTAGTTGTCATGATTGGAGGTTAACTAACGTGAGTGATAATTTTGATTGCCTAACATCCTTTTTAAATTCCTCGTTTCAGAAATTCATATATTTTCCATGTTCCTAAATGAGCTTTATTTTTTATATATCCTTCATGTTTAAATCTGTGAATCCTAAATTATCTTTTTGTAAAAATTTACAAAACCTTCCGAAGATCATGAAAAATTAACGTTATTTGGATTTTGTTAGTCCTAATTTTAATCGTTGTTGGAGGTGAATATTTGAAATATAACTTTATCCAAACGAAAAAATATGCATTATCAGGTAAAGTCTCCACAAACAACATGTTCAGCTATGCCTTTCACCCTATTGGAGCATAAGTTACTGAGCAGAATTTTTCAGCCAACTCTGTCGTTTGCCCTCCATTCCAGTTCTTTCAAAGTTCTGTTCATTCTCTCCATGTTGGCCTCCAAGTCCTGGCGCAACGGGTTCTTTAGTATGCCCCTTTTTCTTTGCCTTGCGGATTCCAAATTAGAGCTTTCAATGTAGTGCAGTCTAATAATTTCCTCAATGTACATCCTGTCAACCAGCTCCATCATCTTTTCCTAATTTCCTCTTCAGTTGGAAACTGGTTCGTTCTCTCCCATAGTAGGCTGTTACTGATGGTATCTGGTTAACGGATGTTGAATATCTTGCGTTGACAATTGTTTAGAAATACTTGGATCTTTTTGATGATGGTTGTAGTAGTTCTCCAAGTTTCAGCTCCGTACAGTAGGACTTTGTTGACTTTCATATCGAAAATTCCGAGTTTGATATTGGTTGACAGTTGTTTTGAATTCCATATGTTATTCAGTTGTAGGGATCATGTTCTTGCTTTGCCGATCATTCCCCTGACATTTTCATCAGATCCATCTTGTTTACCAATGATGCTGCCCAGCTATGTAAAATTTTCCACATCACCCGGAGCTCCTCCATCAAGTGTGATTTGGTTGGTGCTGGCGGTGCTGTACTTCAGTATCTTGCTTTTTACCCTGTGTATATTGATGTGTGTTACTGCAGAGGCTGCTGATACACTAGCTGTCTTCACTTGAATGTTTTGTTGTGCATAGGATAGAAGAGCTAGGTAATCTATGAAGTTCAAAAGGTCTAGCCGCATCCAACTCTCCATTCTATTCCATGGTTTCCCTGAGATGTGAACGTTTTCATAATCCATCCAACAACCAAAAGAAATAGAAAAGGTGAGAGTAAGCGGTCTTTCTGACACCAATCATCAACTTGAATGCATCTATGAGAGCTGCCTTTTGCGCACAACTTTGCAATTTGGTCCCTCTTAAGAGTTCTGTATTATGTTGACGATCTTTTCACAAGCACCATAATGTAGCAAAAACTCCGCCTATAGCTCTTCCAGTTACTGCCGGTCCCAAACACGGGTAAAGGAAGAGGGTTGAGCATGGAGTTAGTGTCCCCATCCCGTAGAAAACTAACTCGCTAAAAAAACGCTTACCAGAAAAAATTATTCAAACCATTTAAACTCTGCCCTGGGAGTTAGAAGGTCTTCAGTTAGAAGAATTATGACGCTTCATGGTGAAAGCCGAGTTCCTTCGGAAGCCACGAGGCCGATGCCCCTTCTAACAACCAGAGCAAAAATTTTTATAGGTACATGGAACGTTCGAACAATGTGGGAAACCGGGAAGACCAGTCAAATAGCAATGGAAATGAGGAGATACAACTTAGCAGTACTGGGAATCAGCGAAACCCACTGGACCCAAGCTGGACAGAAAAGGCTAGCTACGGGAGAGATGCTGCTATACTCCGGTCACGAAGAGGAAAATGCTCCACACACTCAGGGAGTCGCTCTTATGCTGTCCAAAGTAGCACGAAATGCACTTGTAGGATGGGAGTCTCACGGATCCAGAATCATCAAAGCATCATTCAAAACAAAGAAGGAGGGGATCTTAATGAATATTATCCAATGTTATGCACCCACCAATGATAGCAACGACGACATTAAAGATCAGTTCTACGAGCGGCTGCAGTCAATCATTGAGAAATGGCCAAGAAAGGACCTAACTATTCTGATGGGAGATCTAAATGCCAAAGTCGGAATAGACAACACCGGATATGAAGATATCATGGGACGACATGGACTGGGAGAGAGAAACGAAAATGGAGAAAGATTTGCAAATCTGTGTGCATTCAACAAATTGGTCATAGGAGGCACAATATTTCCACACAAGCGTATACACAAGGCTACATGGATCTCACCGGACCACACTACAGAGAACCAAATAGATCATATTTGCATCAACAAAAAATTCCGAAGGACAATGGAAGATGTGAGAACCAGGAGAGGTGCTGACGTAGCTTCAGATCACCACCTAGTTGTAGCCAATTTAAAACTGAAGCTAAAAAAGAACTGGACAAGTGGACAAACAGCACTACAAAGGTTCAATACAGCCTTCCTTCGAGATACTGACAAACTCAATGAATTCAAGATAGCTCTCAACAACAGGTTCCAAGCCTTACAAGATCTACTGGAAGAAGAAGAAACTACTATGGAGGACAACTGGAAAGGCATCAAGGAAGCATTAACTTCAACGTGTCAAGAGGTTCTGGGCCTAAAGAAACACCATCATAAGGAATGGATCTCTATAGAAACACTGGACAAGATCAAAGAAAGGAAGAACAAGAAGGCAGCAATTAACAACAGCCGAACACGAGCAGAGAAAGTCCAAGCACAAGCTGAATACATAGAAGCAAACAAACAAGTGAAGAGGAGCATTAGAGCCGACAAGAAGAAATACGTGGAAGAACTAGCAACGACGGCAGAAAAAGCTGCTAGAGAAGGAAATATGAAACAGCTTCACGATACAACGAAGAAACTAGCAGGGAAATACAGTAAACCAGAGAGGCCGGTCAAAGACAAAGAAGGCAAGCCAATCACCGAAATTCAACAACAGCGTAACAGATGGGTAGAATACTTCGAGGAACTCCTGAATAGGCCGGCTCCAATGAATCCACCGGACATCGAAGCAGCACACATAGATCTTCCTATAGATGTCAACCCACCAACGACGGAAGAAATTAGAATGGCCGTCAGACAAATCAAGAACGGGAAAGCAGCAGGACCCGACAACATACCAGCTGAAGCACTGAAATCAGACATCGAAGAAACCACAAGCATGCTTACCTTCTATTCAAAAAGATTTGGGAGGAGGAACAAGTGCCCATGGACTGGAAAGAAGGACACCTCGTCAAGATTCCAAAGAAAGGAGATCTGAGCAAATGTGAAAACTACAGAGGCATCACACTGCTGTCAGTACCAGGAAAAGCCTGTAACAGAGTTTTGCTGAACCGGATGAAAGATGCAGTAGATAGAGAAAAACCTATAGAAAGGCCTGTAGGTTCCGCTTTGATGCCCAGGGGGTATAATAGGGTTGAATCAGTCAATAGCTCTTAAATCGTTCTACCCACCTGGTCCGCTGTTCTTGAATCGCAGTGGTTGGTATGCCTTATTTGTTCTTGAATGGTCTCTCTGGTTTACCATATTTTCTTGCTAGCTCTTTCTTTTTATCATAACGTTGTCTCATATTTGATTCTCTTGAGTTATTTCTTTTCTGTCGTTCCTATGTCTTCCTGGTGTTTGAGTTTTTCAGCTCTAATACTCTTTTCCACTCATTTGGTCGCCTTTGTATATTCATTTTGTGTCTTGGCTTTCTTTGCTTTTGTTTATTTATTGCTGACTTCTATCTTCCTGGTCTTCCGTTCTTGAATGTTGTCAAGGATATCTGCAGTAATCCATTTTTACGCTGGTGCTTGTTTGGCTCCAGCACTTCAGAGCATTTTAAAATTCTCTCTTCTTTAATCGCTTTCCAGTTGCTCTTTTTAGTGGTTTTCACTTCTTCCAAAAGATCCCGCAAGACGTGGAAGCTGTTGAGAGTTATTTTGCATTCTCTGAGCTTGTTAAAATGCCGACAGAGAAGTGTGTTAAACTTTTTTGTTGTTGCTTGTCCATTTTCAAATGCGTTTTTATCTTTGACTTTAGCTCGGCCACCACCGGATGATGACCTAAAGTTATATCATCTCCTCTTTTTGTCCACATTTCTTACATGAACCTTCCCAGTCCATAGCGCTTCATTATTTATTCCTACCCAGTGTTGTCCATAGAGAACTTAGCATTCAGGTCTACCATCAGGTTAGTCAGCTCTTTTCCTGGGCAGTTCTCTACGTTGAACTCCGGCCTCACAATACTAATTTTTATCCCCTACACTGTCATCATTGCAGAGTGCGCAGCAATGGATCGCATTTTGTCCTCCTCTGCTTTGAAGGATACTTTGACCGTTCTGAAGTTATGAGATTCCCATCTGGAAGTGCTTTCCTGCTTTTTAGATAGCATTAGTGCACCTCCTTATGTGTGTGATGCATTTTTCTCTTCACTACTAAAATAAAGCAGCTTCTCTCCCAAAGCTAGTCTTTCTATTCAGCTTGTGCATAATGGGTTACACTTATCCTCAGCAGAGCCACTTAGTATCTTCTGGTTTCCACCACTATTTGAATAGTCTTCCGGTCTTCCTCATTGTGTGGACACTCTACGTACCCATATTGATTATCACTGAGGTTGTCAGAAAGGGTCATCGGCATTATGGCTTCTGAAAAATCTCGGCTTTCACCGTGAGGCATTGTAACTCTTATGAATTTAGACCTTGGAAATGACAAAGCCGAGTGTAAGTGATTTTTTTCTGGTCACCCCCTTTTTAGTGAATTTTCTTTTTACAGGATGAGGTTGCCAACCTCATACCGAACTCTCGATTACCCGAATTGAGGTTTAGCAGTAATCCTAGAAGGGTTCTAAGCGGGATTTACAGAAACCTGATAAATAGATTTAAAAATATAAACTATCCGAAAAATGCAAATCACTTCATCAAAGTTCAAGAATTTTATTAATGTTCACTCGGGACTTCGACAAAGATTTAATCTATCACCTTTATGTCTCGGGTGAGCATCTAACTATGGCTACAGAATACAATGGTTCACATTTCCCTACTTGTTTACTTAGATATTTAGTGAGACGATCAACTGGCGTTTGAACTCAGGCATAAGTAGAGTTCATCGATTATGACTTCATATTAGAAATTCAGAATTCATCTCAAGATTCCTCAATATTTAGCATAATATAATCATACTGAAATTCACAGTATTATTGTTTATTTGGTTACCTGTAGAAATGGGTTCAACTTTGGTATAGTTTTCATCATGCATTGAATCAAAGTCTTGTGATCTGAAAGTCATAGTTTTTCTTGGTCATCGCTGCTCAACCTTGATGAGTTTTAAACTAGTATAAATCAGTTATCCGATGCCGTCTTATGTTCACTGGCCTAGCAACTAAATTCTGTTTATGATTTATTTATTCGAACGTATAAACATTAGTACAAAGGGGCACCGAATACATTTGCGCCACACAAGTCACTTGATTTGTGTGTGGGATGTGATACTGCCTGGGTGCCCAAACTGAAGAAGGTGGTTTTCTTAGGGAGCCACTCTCGGAGCCTTTGACCTAAAGGTCTGATCCACAAGGCAGTGGAGCAACGTCAGGATATGCAGTCTCATAATAGCCACTTGTTCCCTCAGGATCCTGAAGCCCATGTGCACCATTCGTTTAAAATCAGGGTTTTCTGATCCCCCAAGGTGGTTCCTCCGTATCTACCAACCCGGTTAAAGCGCCGGAACTTCGCTTTTCGTTCTCTCAATTTCGTAAACGACAGTAATGCCGCGAGAATGCATTGAGTAGGACTTCCCTGACAGTGTTGTATACACGTGGCCATGTGAGAGCATTTGGAGAGTGAAGGTGAACTGACCCCACCCTCGACTGTACTAGGGCATCTGGAGGACACGGAAAACAACCCTAAAGTTAAACAATCTTGACGACATTAAGAATAAGTTTTAAAGTAACTGTTCATCTTATATTTATTAAGAAAATCGATGACTAAGTTAATCATGAACAACTAAATATGAGAAGGGTTTTGTGGAGATTTTAGAAATTTCAATGGTTAAGATCATGAGTTAGTTGAAGCTAGACCACCATGGAAAACCTGGAAGCACTGGACGGCCGTTTCGTCCTGGTATGGGACTCCTCAGCAGTGCGCATCCATGACCTCGCCCCTTACGAGATTCGAACCCACAACCTACTGGTTTCGCTCGCGAGCACTTAATCACTAGACACTGAGCCGGCATCCAACGGTGTTAATGCCGTCCAGTGCTTCCAGGTTTTCCATGGTGGTCTAGCTTCAATTGACTCATGATTTCAATCAGTGAAACTAAATATAAATCATACAAATTTGTCATGTATTTCATAACTAGTATAACATACTTTCTAATGTTCATTAAATTAAACTTCAAAATAGAATTAAAGATAATAAATATTTGTTATACATATTTATTTTATTCCACAAAATCAAAAATATCATTATTCTATCTAATCATTTTATTACTTTTCTATACTTTCATTATAGTTATCAGGTTTCATGAAAAGCCAATAACAACATCCAATAAAAAAACACAAACAACATTGAATTTATTTAAATAAGTCCATAAAAAAAACAGAAACATTTTAGAAGTGTTTTCTTTTTAGTTAATAATATTCCTATTCAATTTGAATTTGTTCTATTCTTTTCAAAAGCCAATGAAGTAAACAATTTAAACAAGCAAATTTTCAAAATATTTATATACATATATATATATATATCAACAGTTAAAACAAACAAACATTTAGCTATATTCAATAATAAAAAAAGCTTATTTATTTTACATATTTATTTATCAATTATTATATAAGAATTAAATGTTTTAATCATAAACAATACTATGAATTCAAATGATCAATTCAATATTCAATAATAAATTGCATTTTTCAAAAAAATGTTTTAATGAATCACATTTAGTAATTTTACATTACCAGATATAATTATTTAATGATACTGTCAGTTTATTTTCATTATTTAAAAGAAAAAAACGACAACCAACCAAAGGGAAATAATTCAACTTTGTATTGAATATGAATAATTTCTATGGTAAATTAATAGAATTGTTTAATGTTAAAAATTTCAATGAACAAATGGTATATATTCTTCAATATGATGTTTTTATTTTATTTTTCAGCTTAATAATGATACCAATTGAGTTATTAATCTTAATTAATTATAATGTTATTTTAGAAATTATTTACGCTTAAAAAATATTTTTTTTTCTTTTTCATGTTTAAATAAAAAAAATGCTAATATTTCTTTGAATTGATTATGTTCTATGTTGCTTTGGAGATTTTGTTTCTTAGAATAACTAAGTATTCATGACAATTCATACTTAGTAAACGTCTGAATATACATTTTAAAAGAAAAATGAATGAAATCTGAACTTCCTGTCATGAATGCTTTTTAGACAATTAAACATAAGTTGGTTAACGGTAACTACTGCGATTTGTAAAAAAGAAATTTTGTTACATTTTTGCAAAATCTTGTATTTTGAGCTACATGGTTTAACATAGGATCTTCCATTTTCTTGTTGGACACTATCATCGGTACCCAATTAAAGTGAAAATGAGTTATTCAAAATTACACTATAAGAGCTGAACTAGTGTTTTTTGACGATTATTTTTGCTACCGGCTGTTTCTGTAAGCCCCGTCAACTTTATACATCTCTAGATTCTAGTCAACTATTTTGTTCGATTGACCTCTAATCATATCACTCGGTGACCTCCTTCATATATTTGGAAAAAGTGAGTCTATATTGATATGATTTTCAGCTACGTATTGGACTAAATATCATCCTTCTCTATGTTTTCTAAACTTTTTGGAATTATCTCGGACCACATAAAACATAAAATCACTGCTTCTGTTTAATAGGAACTATTTGAGTAACTAGTGTTATCCGGTCACTAGGTAAATGATATTATAAAACGATGTATATTGACAGGTGAATGAATGCTTTAAGAATTAGCTTTCCGAACTGTCATATCATTTTCTTTGTCCAGTGCCTCCAGATCTTCAATGGTGATCTGGTTTAATTCAGTTCACGATTTCAATGAAATTAAACAATCTTCACGATCTCATATTGAAAATTTTTCTTGTTGTTGATTAATTATTCTGAGTAGGAGAATTCATGATTTCAGAGAACATATTCTCAAGAAATTTCGACATAGAAGAGAAAACGGTTTTGAAAGTTCGGTTAAGGGCCATCTGTTCAGTATGGAATAAAGATATATACAGTGTGCTCGTCCAAAATATTCAATACAACTGCTTTCTATTAAAATTTGCAGAGACTATAGAAATTAGGAAACATAAATATCATTTTTGTGTTTAACAGGAGACTGGCTCAATTCCAACTCCCCAAGTACAAAAAGAATCAATATTAATAGGTTAATTTTATGTTTCAAAAAATCTTTAACACTGTTCAGTGGTCCCAATTTAATTTTCTGTCTTACCTTTTTGTGCTTTTTATAAATCTTCTGTTTTGTTACATAACTACATTCTATTATTACCACTATAATTACATATTATAACAGTGTTAAAGGGTTTTAATTTAAGATCACCACAAATTTACTGATCACTGAAAAAATTAATTCCCAAGGGTTGTACGCTAATATTATCATCAAACTTGATTTACTAGCTTATAATTGGTGGGAACGAATACATGAAACATAATCACCTAATTGTATTCTACAAATACTATAGTTTATACTATTTTCAAGCTTGTGAAGTGGACATGTTGTACAAAATCTTTTTGTAGTTGGAATTTAATAGTATTCGCATTAACAGAAAAGAGAGATCATGTCCTAGCAATGACATTTTTCGGTCTGGTCGATGCAGTATCATCTCAACTTTCAGCTTCTTTTCGGGTCAAGCAGAAAATTTGACACTCATTATTGACCATGAGTTGCAAGTGCCAAATCCAAATTCATTGGTTACGTTGACCCTACCTTTGGAATATTAGGCGACTGTGAAATAATAAAATTTACTTACACAAGATGATGAACTCAGTGAAAAATGAACTTAATCTCCTCTATAACTCGGAATCTGGCATTCCTAAAGCAGTGTTCTTATTGGTATGCTAATGTAATTTTCAAGACCACCTCGCCTTTGTTTACTCAGGTATACACAATTCACTGTACGGAATTCAATTTTATTATTCGCCTAATTTACATTTCAATGTGAGACAAAGATATGAATTCGTATGTACACATCTTTTAAAAATCGAATGAACTCCTGACTTTAAATCCAATAATTAACAAGATCGATTACGAACATTTACGTTTATCGGCATTCCAACGAGTGTCGAAATGAAGTACAGTAATGTTTTCTATTACATCTGAGACAATTTATATGTCAAAAGCTCCGGCAAACAGGACACCAACAACATTAAACAACCGACAGAAAGTTCGATGTCCATATCTGTCAGTTGGCAGTAATACCTTCACTACCGATTGCTGATGTCGTATCTGAGTTTGATGGTTTAACCGAGTAACCATTATGCACAGAAAGTGGAGAAAAAAGCAAAGTACCAACAAACTACTTTGAAACCATTTGAACATCAAGATAAGGAGACCACTACGGTCGAATTTCGAAAATTGTATAGTGCAACATTCACACTTCAGTTGTCGGAGGTCTTCCTAAAATGGGATGGCAAAGAGTATTGACCTTACTCATCCGAAAACCCGAAACTTCGTTGAAATTCGTTGGAACCGAACATTTAGACATGTTATAGAAAGTTAAAAGTATATTTGGCATTTACATCTACGGTACTTTGACAAATCCCATCCCTTGCAGTTCAATCTTAAATAATGATCACCATAATCGATGTTGGTCCATTTTGCAATCACCCGTTTGTATATACTCTAATTAGGTCAAATTCAACCTAAGCACGGTGCCCAACTGATAACTTGACACCCCACGAACTGATGAATAAACTTGACAAAATACTTCCAATGCTGTTACATAAACCGTAACTACTTACCATCAAATATTTTACTTTCTTTAAACACGCCTACAACCCAGTGAAACTAGCTAGATAATTGAACAATACTCTATTGTATCCTATCTTTGAAATAATTTCTCTGTTCGGTCCTGAAAACTATTGTCTAGTAAGTTTAGCTGACATAGTTGTCATGATTCTAAAGAGGTTATTTGAAAACAACTACTTAAGCAATCGGGCAAGATCTTGGTACTCCAAATAATAGCATGTTTTCCGAATTGGTTGCTCAGGCTTCCAAGTTGTTAGTGGCAAAGAAACATCCACTGGCATCTCAGATCACAGGTTACCGAAAGATGCAATCTTCACTCACTTCAGTAACGATTTTGGTAAAGTTCCATGTACCCAACTTCTATCTGAATTAGGCAACATGGGTTGGGGGTAATTTAATGCTGCATACAGATGGCGATGATTAATAGTCTTCCAGTGTAATCTTTGCTTAGTCTTCTTTCTTTTATTCGTAATTAATCCCCAAAGTCTTTCGTTCCGCTCAGTCTTGATATTTGCAGACTGTAACAAGATATATGTGGTTATACAAACGGAAAGGAACACAATAGATTTCTGAAATGCTACAACAAATTACTAGAATTACTTGTGGCGGATTACTATTTTTGCAAACACACGGTAACCTTGGAAGTGATATCAGTCAAGACTCAAAGTTCGTTGGGCAATCCTAAGTGGAAGCTGTTTTAAAAACTTTGAAAAAATACATGGCTTATTCAATCACCGGGATACCAAGACGTTTATAACTTTGAGTACAACAATTGTCCACACATTTTGAGTGAGTCATGCAAACATCCATCCCCTTCCCTCAAAAAGATTGTGGTCCGTTAGGAAAGAACTAAAAATTGGCAATTGAATCAATCTCTAACCTTTTGTATGATGAACCAGCCACTATTACACAAGAAGACTCCAGGTGGCCCATTCACAACTTTCAACCTAACGGTTATGAATTAATATTTTTTCGTTTATGTAGCCTTCAGGAACGGAAGATTTGTACTTTAAGATGCACAGCATGCTCTGAAAATCTGCCATAACTGGTTAAATACGCCATGAATTGTAATGATCGCAACTGACTTCGTGACTTACTTGATTAGTGTGACTAGGTAACACTTCTCACGAACCAAGTTTACTGACACACAGTGTCAGTGAGGAGACATTGAGAAATAGGATATCTGGTAAGTCAAATGTTGGCCATTTCACACATAAAACGTAAAAGGCTTCCCAACACAACTCAGTGGTAGGTCATTTATAGACCGATTAAATCAAGCTGAATTATCAGGACTACTCAGTGCTGGCTCGTTGTCAATCGCTTGTCACCTGATTACCGACTTTTTTATCGAATCATTTAAGAATGAAAACGTCCACCAATTTGGCTGGTAGCCGTGTGGTTGCGCTACGGGATTGAGCTGTACTATTCAGATCGTAGCGTTAAAGTCTATACGGTGTCTGGTTCTCCCGTTAAATGGGGTTGAGCTGTACTGTTTGGGTTGTCACGTGAAAGTCCGGATGGTATCTGGTTCTCCTGAAAACCAATGTAAAATTACCCTGGCCCACAAGGGTATATTATATAACCGTGAACTGCCCAGAGACTGGGAAGACGCTATAATAAGTCCGATGTATAAGGCTGGGAGTAGGGATTTAGTTAGTAACTATAGACCCGTTAGCTTAACTTGTGCACTTGTAAAACTGATGGGAAAAATCATTCGGATATCTGTTATGAGCTATGTTGAAGCGTATAATCTTTTCTCCAGGGAACAACATGGTTTTCGAAGAGGTCTATCATGCTTGACAAATCTTCTCATCACAAGAGAAGATTGGGCTGCTGCAAAAGATCGGAATATTCCTGCGGATGTGATCTTCATAGATTACAGTAAAGCCTCTAATATGTTCTCCCACTCTGGTCTTAAATTCAAACGGGAACTTTTTGAAATCCATGATACAGTCGTAGATTGGATAAGTAACTTTCTCTATAACAGGAGACAAAGGGTAAGGGTAAATGGGGTTCTTTCCTCGTGGGTACCTGTCAAAAGTGGAGTTCCCCAAGGTACAATCCTCGGTACTCTTCTCTTTTTACTTTATGTAAATGAATTACCAGCTTTAGCAAAATCATCCGTTCTACTCTTCGCTGATGACATAAAAATTTGGAGACCCCTACACAGTATGTCGGATAGGATGGTATTATAAAATGATCTTAGCTTATTGGTGGCATGGTTGGACAGGTGGTCACTAGAAGTAAATCCTAACAAGAGTGTAGTGATGCAAATAAATAACTATGATGAATCGTATCACTATACAATGTGTGGATTCGTGCTACCCAAAGTAAGAAACTATAAAGATTTAGGAGTCATATTAAGCAGTGATCTCAAAACCACTAGTCACTGTAAGGCTGCTGCTGCGAAAGGCTATAGGGTATTATGGCCTATGCGTAGGTCTTTCCAACATTTGAATGATGAAATGTTTAGATTATTATATCCGATTTATGTGCGACCACATTTAGAATATGGGATTCAAACAGCGAGTCCTTGTTTCAAGTATGAAGCGGAGATGCTGGAAAGAGTCCAACTACGAGGTACTAAGACGGTACAAAGTCTATCTGGCCTATCCTATGAAGACAGACTGAGACACCTTAACTTATTTCGTCATCTTACCATAGAGTAAGGGGTGATCTAATATTGGCTTGTCGTATACTGAACGATGACCTTGGTATTAACACGTCTTATTTTTTAATTCTGTCTAGGACTGATCATTTGAGAGGACTTTGAAGAAAGCTCAAAAATTAAATCGTTTACGTTTGGAGGTTGGTTTTTTCGCATCGAGTAGTGAATTACTGGAATTCGCTACCGAAACACGTAATACCAGCACCTTCTGTTAATATATTCAAAACGAGATTGGACCTCTACAGTATGACAAACTGCAGGGATTAATATAGGTCGATAGACCTCCTATCCTTATTACTCAAGACTGAAGAAGACTGTTTACCTAAACGCATGGCCACCGCTCCTTCAGAAAACGCATTTATGGACAAGACATTTTGTGGACCATTACCTGACTCCAATTTGATCGTATGTTGATTGCCATCGAAATATACATGTCACCAATTCCGTACATATTTATCGACTTAAATCGCGATAGCGAATAACGGA